TAGTTTTGTATGGTTTGCGGTTGCGGTTGGTGTGTTTGGGCGTCTATTGCTAAGTTGCATATTGAGGTGTAGTATTGTGCAAACACATTGCCAATATCTTCGGGTGCTGTAACTTTGTGGCCTGCCGGTGAGATGAGATGTGCTATCTTTTGTTTCGCTTGTTTGGCCTTGAGGTGCTGTGCCACTAATTTGCCAGCTTTGTTCCCCTGCGCGTAGTGTGTTGCTTTTAGTCTGTGGAGGTTGTGCCCACTGGTGTCCAGTGTTTGCTTATGGATGTCTCGTGTGATTTGCATTATGTGTTTCTTTAAGTCCTGTGTCGGGTTCAGCTGGTTTTTGGTTGTGAGGTCTTGTAATTGTTTTTGCCATTCCCGTGTTTGTGCCTGTGTCCAACGTTTCAGGAAAGCTGCTCTCTTTATTAATAGCCCCCTAATCACTGACTTGTGGGATTGCCACACTGTGTTGTGTGATGTCTGGTCTGCTTCGTTTTCTTTGAAATAGTGTGTGAGTTCGGTTTCTAATTCGTTTGTAAAGTTCGGATCTAAGAGGAGGGAGTCGTTTAGTCTCCAGGGGCTCCTGTATGTGGATTCGTATAGGTCCGTTAGGTTCGCTAGTACTGGAGCATGGTCTGACCACTTGATTTGCTCTATGGAGCACTCTCTGACCTGTTCTAAGTGCTGGCCTGTGATCAATATGCCGTCTATTCGAGTACAAGTTGTGTACTGGTGAAAAGAAGGTGTAGCCCCTCTCCCCCACATGTTTTGCCCTCCATACGTCATAGTAGTGATGTTCGTGTAGCAGTTTGAGTATGGCTTTACCCTGTCGCTTGAGTGGTCTCAGTCTGGTGTTGGTGTGTGCGGTTGTGGTGTCCATCTTGGGATCTATGACGTGGTTAAAGTCTCCGCAGAGTATACCTATTCCCCTTTGTATGGTTGCTAATTTTTTAAGGATTTTATGTAGGAAGTTTCTTTGTTCCTTGTTAGGGGCGTAGATGCACGTGATGGTGTAGGGAACATCGTTTATGGTCCCCACCACCACAACATACCTCCCCCCGTGTCTATCTCGCGATGTATGAGAGTGAACGCTACGTCCCTATTAATGAGGATGGAGGCACCTTTGGATTTGTTTGTATGTGTGGCATGAAACAGGTGTGGATAGTCTTTTGGAAGCAGTGGGGCATGGGCGTTGGTCTTGAAGTGTGTCTCCTGGAGGCACACCACCTCAGGTTTGTGCTTATTGAGATCTCTGCGGAGGAGGCTCCTCTTTGCTGGGTGGTTAAGCCCTTTTGTATTGTGGGTGTATATTCTCATGGGGGGTTGAATGTGAGAAGTCTGGGTGATAGTGTCGTTGGTCTATATTCTTGTAGGGATGCCATCCTCCCCAGCTTTTTTTCGAACCGGGTGGCAGTTCCCTTATTGTAGCGAGCTGTATGTGTGGTTTCTCAGTGTGGAGCGGTTTGCCTAGTGTAGCATTGCGTTGGAACCTTGTATGTCTAACGTGCGTACAATATGAAACAGTTGAATTAAACATCTTAATTAAACCAGTAAAAATTAAACAAATAACTAAGTCTTGTGCCTTGTATATGGCCTTGCGCCAGTTAAAGGCGCCGTGGGGAAGGAAGCTCTGTGCTTCCATGCCTGTGCATAATGGTCAGTTGGCCTAACCTGTGTTACGATTTAGTGTTCTTCGCTCCTTGTAATTTCGAACTTTGAGCCTTGATTGTTATCCTTGGGTGTCAGCTCTTGGGGTGCTCTAGTGTCTCTAACACGCCTTTGCTATCTTTGGGATAATGGTTAGGTATTGGTAGGTTATGGGCTCTCTATTCTCTATGTGCAGCACCCCCATGCCCCCCCTTTTTAAATAGTTACAGTCCCAAAGTCTTTAAAGTTTTACTTGCCGCATCTTGCAGTTTGTGTGCTCTCCGTTGCTTTGTTCAGTTCTTTGTAACCCTCTTCCATGAGGGGGTAGGTCCGTCTCGGTTTGCCGTGGAGACCGTAGAAGTTGGTGGGGATAGACCCCATGCTTTGAGGGCTTGTATTCTGGCCTCTGGGGACATGATGGCTGTAGTCTTGCCTTCGTGTACAACGAGTAGTTTGACCGGGAATCCCCATCTGTACGGTTTCTTGTGGAGACGTAGTTGTTCTGTGAGTCTTGAGTATGCTTTCCTCCTTTTCAGTGTGGCTGCCGATATGTCAGTGTATATGGCTGTCCCTTGGTACGGGTTTGGCAGGTTGGGGCGCTGTCTGCTAGCTCTCATAATATCTTCCTTGATGTGGAAGTAGTGTAGTCTCACCAGGACGTCGCGCGGTGCCTCTGTTGTTAGGAACCGTGGTTTTGGTACTCTGTGGTACCTGTCCAGGAGCAGCATGTCCTGAGGTATGTCTAGGAGTAGAGTTTTAAACAGCCCCTGCAGGTGCGCGTGTAGCTCTTCCATGTCGGCCAGTTTCGCATCAAAGGCCGCCAAGGTGTTTTGGATTTCTTCCATGTTCGCTCGCACGTCGGTATAGGCTTCCTCATGGTCCGCCATTTTGTCCTCCAGAGTGGAGGTTCTTGTGCCCAGTTCAAGGAGGTCAGCCTTAATTTCTTTTAATTGGATATGCACACAAAGGATGTGGAAATGGTGGCGCTATACAATTAAAAGTTGTAAGAGTAAATTTAAGCTGCTATAAACACTCTGTGGGTACTCCTTTTAACCCTCCACACATAAAAGACCACCAAAGACAACAGCCTAATGTCAGTTTATGGGGTGACACTACCCCTCTCTGGAATCACTTGCACAGGATACAGTTGAATTGATGAGTGTAAAAACTATATTTATTCTTACAGAGAAAATGTATACAAACTATTTGCTTTAAAAAAATAAATAAAAAAAATTATGGAACATGTAGTACGAACAAACAGGAAGTGACGCAATGATACTTGGCCGCGTCACACCAAGCATACCGGATTGGAGAACAGAAAATTGGCGGGTAATTGAGGATTCAAAAGAGAGGAAATACGGAAGATACTTTGAAGCTGACTGAGGAAGCCGCTTTTCGGTGAAACGCGTTTTGGCTAATAGTGGACCTATATTTAGACCACTAAATACAATTTTATTGTTCTTATATGGTTTTTAAAGTTTATCATTTCTTATTTTTATTTATTTTCTAGCCAATAGTTTGTATACATTTTCTCTGTAAGAATAAATATTAGTTTTTACACTCATCAATTCAACTGTATCCTGCGCAAGTGATTCCAGAGAGGGGTAGTGTCACCCCATAAACTGACACTAGGTTTATACACTTAGAGCCAGTTATCAAAAGGCTCTAAACAAGGTGAGCACTTCTGTACTTTATTCATATTGATATAATCAGTATCTAAAATACTACACTTAGATTGGATTATCAGTGTCTTTTTTCGTATGATGTGGAGAGGAACATACGCACTTTTGCCTTGAGAGAGGTGTCGTGTGATCTACCCAAAAAGACACAGACGTCTGGAAGTTTAGAGCCTTACAACTGTAAAAGGCTCTAAAAAATGTGAGTCTAAACTTATAAACACATAATTTTTTAGACATTTCTTCGATATACTGCACTATTATTTGTATATTTTCTTTATTTCTCTTTATATGCACATGAAAATACAAGTGTGATATAGAGGGTAAGTGCCTTTAAGCACTGTATATACGTACTCACTCATTCTATTTAAACCTAGCGCTACACTCGTGAAAACTGAGGGTTTAAAGGGTATAAACACCTGCTAAATCTAAAGTTTTTCTGTTGTCTTTGTTAATTTCTTTTAAGGAGGTCTGGATGGTGTGCTGTATTTTGCTATGCATTGTATCTAGCATTTGTTGTAGTATGCTCTGTGTCACTGGGGCATCTTCTGCCGCCATTCTCTGCATCTCAGCATTTTCTCCGTGGGCGCCATCTTGGGCCTCCTCCACGGATTTCGCCTGTGAGTTTCTGACATTAAAGAAGCTGTTCTTCTCGCTTCTTTCCTGCTGGCACCTGCCCTTTTGTTGGGACATTGTGTGGAGGTTTCTTTTCTTTCATTTCGTTTGGGAGCTCGTTTCGCTAAGATTTAGGCCCGGGTAGCACGGAGCTAGTCCGACATGCGACCGCTGAGGTTGAGCTCCAGGCCACACCCCACTCCAAGAATTTTAACCATTACAGCCTACTGTAGTGGCTACTACTTGAGGAGTACCCTGGCCGTTTCTCAGGAATGGGGCTAATCATTTGGCAACAATTTGTCCTCTTAACTGGGTCCACTGTGACCAATGATGAAACCCGGCTTCTGTGGAGTAGATACTGCCGTCCATCCATTGGCTCAGAGCGTCAGTTGACCACGCTCAGCCAATGGATGAAATTCTATGTATAGGAATAAGCACAGAATTGACACTAGCTACCTCGAAACGCTTCTAAACTCTAATGACGCCACTACTACGCTGCTGGATGTGGAACTACATCTTTGGCAGCAAAGGTGTTAAATTCTGTATGTGCAGTGTATCATAGCAAAATGCTGCACAAATTCCAAGTTCCAAGCACCATGACAACTGCAAGGCACTAAAGTGGTCATGGTGTCTGGACCAGACCTTTAACCCCTTAAGGACCAAACTTCTGGAATAAAAGGGAATCATGACATGTCACACATGTCATGTGTCCTTAAGGGGTTAAGATCATAAATGTTCTCATTCAAACTGCTTACATCCTGCAGGACTTTTTCAAAGACAGTACTGTGGAACCTCGAAACTGTGTCAACGGAACAAAAGCACTCAGGTTGTTGGTGCAGTTCCATGATGCTTGGTCAGTCCATCACATCATTAACCAGCGCAAGCCAACAGATCATTGTAGCTTCACAAACCCTGCAATGTCACAATGTCAGCTCTTGGCTATCCCACATTACTCTGATGATTAAATAGTAAGATTTTTTTTTTTTGTCATTTTAAAAGTGACTGATTTACAGAAATAAGCACATCCAGGGCACACATTGTTTTCCTGTCATTACCAATAAGAAACAAAACATTGTCTGTGTCAAATAAAATGTTGGTTTTATTTTCATCCTCCAAACATTTGCTCACAAATGAAGGCTCTGACCAGAATTTAAAGAAAGAAAAGTGGGGTAGGAATGAAATAGGGAGAAAGGGCAGGGCTGAGGGTTTATAATTAAGGGTACTAGCAGGTACTGGGAATCAAGGATACAAGGGTCAAGAGTAACCATTTTTCTTTTCAGTTAACACAAGTTACACAAAAAGGATAGATTTGTTATGCTACTGCAGCCACAGGTCTGCAGGATGAACGCCCAAGGCCTGTGATCACATTTGAGACAACACTAGGGTCATATAGCAAACGATGAATGCCGATATCACTCTTCCGGCCCAGTGGCTAGCGGAAGGCATGCTTTTTAGATCCTCCAACACGACAGCCCACTCTGTGTCGCTATGCAAGATGTGCAGAGAGGGCATATTAGCTTGCTGGTATAGGTTTTTCCTTTATGCTGCCAGTGTATACATTTTAAACTTTATACTTTTATTTTAATTTTAGCAAATTTATGAAACATTTCTTTCCAAATGGTTGCTATCTTGGACTCTGAAGGCGACAGCGGCAGCAGCTGAGACGGGGAACACGAGGTTTAACTCCAAGACCAGCATCCATTGTTCAGCCCATCTCCTTCCACTGCTTGTAGAAAGTCAGCACGTTCTTGATTTCGATGTTGGCGTTTGAGGCCGCCTGCAAAGCGGACTGTAAACACAAAGCACCGTTACTGACATTCATACAATACCCAGCAGGACGGCGCAAGGAAATCTCAATTCTTTGATGTTAGAACATTTAAAGGATCTCTTATTTTAAAAACAATACATTCCTTCTGGTTATTAACAAACACGAAAAAGTTCTCAGAAAACAAACATGCTGCTTAAAGGAAAAAAAAAAAAAAACTAGCGTACAAGATTAAATATACAAAATATTTCCACAGTTCTAAAGTGGCATATCACCAAAATTTTCTTTCCATAACTTTGTTTAATAAGACAATATTTAAAACAAATATATTTCACATACAACTATTAGAGGTGAGCTCTAAAGACCTGACAGTTGTCCAGCATGCATGTAAAATAAATAAAATGAGCTACTGGTAATATTAAGGCTACATAGAGCTTTCAATAGCCAACCTGAATTTGTGAATTACAGAGAACCACCCAGCATCCACCTCTACATAAAGCTTATATTATAAAAATAGGATTTGTTCTCAATACATTGAAAAGCAATTAGTTAAGGAAGCTAATGTACTGATCAGAAAAATGAACAGCTTCAATAAAAGGCAATATATTTGTGCTTAGAGAGCTACGGTGATCTTACAAAGAAGAATACTCAGCTAGAACAAAATGAGCATCTTCTGACCTCTTTGTGACAAGGTGCTACGTGTATTGCGTTATAGCATGACAGTACTGACACTTTTCATGTCATGAAGGTATTAATAACTAGCAATGAAAAACATGAGCAGACTAGATCAGAGACAACATTTGACGACTGGCTCTGAAAACAGACCTGTCAATAGACAGCCATTGTGTCGGAAAGGTAAGAAGACCAACAGAGTACATTGGGTTGGCATAGGTCAAGAAATGAGCCAAACCATTAATTGAAGAGAGAAGTCTGGTACTGACCTGCACGGCGGCCGTCAAGCAGTCCGGCTCATTGAGATGAAAGCTGGTTAAAATGGTCACCATCCCAGCAGTGTCGTCTGCATTGTTTCCTTGCGATACAGTCAACTGCCTGCAGCTGTCCAAAATCTTGTACAGGTGCCTATCAGGAATGTAAAAAGAAGACCTGTTTAAAGAAACTTGATGCTTTCGTTGTGAAAGGTTTGTTACCAAACTATACGGTGTCATTGGATAAATAGAATGGTCAGTTATTAAGTACATGTATAAAAGTCACAACTTCTGCACAGAGACACTGAACTTCCCTCACAGAGATGCATTGATTCAATTCATCTCTACGAGGAGATGCTGATTGGCCAGGCCTGTATTTGGCTTGTGCTGGCTCTGCCCCTGATCTGCCTCCTTGACAGTCTCACCCAATCCAAGCATTGTGATTGGCTTTGATCAAGACTTCTGATGATGTCAGCCAAGCAGGCAGATCAGTGGCAGAATCAGCCGCAAAAGACTGGAATAAACGTAAGATTTTACTATTTTATTAGAGAGGGCAAAGAGGGGCCTGGGGGGCTAGATGGTGTATTTTACACAATAGGGTCAGGAATACATTTTTGTGTTTTTGACCCTATAGTGTTCCTTTAACCCCTTAAGGGTTCCCTTTTATTCCAGAAGTTTGGTCCTTAAGGGGTTAATATATAATTTATGTTCCCCATTATATGTGTTTCGATAAGAAGAAATAAATCAACCATAAAGAATAATTCAAATCAGTATTGACTATCACCAAGTTTAAAATAAACAGCTTTAAAATTAAATAACTGGGGAGAGGAGTATGTGTGCTAGAAACAAGTAATGAACCCAGACCAGTTTAATTTATTATTATATCATTATCATTATACTACCTCCTATTAAGGACACACAAAAAAAAAAGAGACCTTTTTGCATTCCTGACCCTATACAGTTCCTTTAACATATGTGTGAAAACGGCTTCTTACCAGGCATCTGTGTCCTGTCTCTTCAGTTTATTTCTCTCAAAACTTTTACCCGTGTCTTTCTGGCAGCGAATATACCTGGATGGGGGGAAAACAGCTGGTGGTGAATGCCTAATTCAAAACAAAAACAATTGGCAAGAAGGAAATGGTAAATCTTACCGTACCTATTTCCCTTTTTAAACTCTGTTTCCAGATACCGAATCCCATCCCGGGCCCCAGCATTCTCCTTTTTCAGGATGTCCAAGCCGTCTATAACTACATGTGAGAAGTAGGAGAGTTATTAATAATGATAAAGACAACTGGCAAATTAACCCCCCCCCCCCAAAAAAAAAAATCAACGAAGAAATGTGTATATAATATAAATATAAAAACATATTCAAACGGAGTGTTTATTTTCTGGTTGTTTATTACTAAGAATTCTGAAAGGGATTCAACTGCATTAGTGCTGTGACAGAATCGTCTGTCTTTAGATTATGTTTCTCCCTCCATTCTTCTGTTTTTTTCGGTTATTTCTTTACCCGTACAGCCCCCTTGTTTCCCCGCTTTGTTTCCCGAACGACTACCGTTTATGCGACCACCGGGAAGCTGGAGTGTGCCTTCAATCTACCTCCCTGAAGCTAGCATGTGCCGGCAATTGACCACCCGGTAACTGCGGTTAACCGCAGCTTAATTGACTGTTACTGGGTGGTCGCGGTTACACCTAGCCGCCACACGATGGCGGTGTTATGGAGCTCCCCAGGCAGCCAACGTTGTTCTGCCCAGCCTCATTACACCAAAAGCGGACACTTTTCCTTTCAAGCACCGCTGAGCTACCAGCCTACGGGACTTCAGCTCCGTTCGTGAACCGAACGGCGGAACATTCGAGACTTTGTGTTTTATAGTGTATTCTATGTGAAAGTACCCAGATAGCTATGCCATGGAGCCTGTTCGTGAAATTAAAGACTTTGGCTCCATGGCGATTACACTGTATTTGTGTGGTCTGAGCGCCATTCACCTAATAATGTACGCTCAGACCTGAGCTATCTGTGGGTATGTTACATGTCTATATTTAATGTAACAGGTTTAACACTTTCTATTTTAACATTAATGTCTATCCTGTTGTCCCCACGTGCATAATGGCGATTTGTCTTTGTCCTGGGAGATAATTGAATTACTTCTCAATTATCTCCAGGGCAGAGAGGAGGAAGCCAGGATGCATTGTGGGGATGTATTGTGACTGTATGTCCTGATCTGATACCTGTCTGTCCTTTGTTACAGTCTCCCATTTGGTCCCCTAGGGGAGTGTCCACCAAGTGGGAGACCTGCATAAATACGGGCAGGTAACCCGCATTAAAGCCAGATCTCGTTTTACCCCTTATACGGAGCTTAGTCTCGTGATTGGGGGGGATTTACTATATGTGGCTAGAGACTGATTGCTGGGAACGTAAGCCGCTTGGATGCTATATCGGTTTGTCTGTTAGCAGCGATTCGTGGGATTACTGTTCGGGAGTTTGGAGTGTTACCAAGTATGCTGTTCGGGAGATAGGCGCATTCCCCTGGTTCCAGTTCGGGAGTTTGGGCTCTAAAGTAGTCGTGCCTGTATCTCTGCAAAGGGGAAGTTCTACGAAACGGCGAATTCACTCCTTTATACTGTGAGTGTCTTAACAAGTGTCTACATTATATTTAACCATTAATGATGAACAGAGAAAAATAAAATAAAAGCCTTATGGTTTAAGGTTACAGATTTAGTTCATTCTTTCTGGAATATTCTCCAGTCAGGTGACTCGCATTACCTGTCCGTGGGATGATGATGATGAACCGGCCACTGTTGGCCAGCTGCCTAATGATGCCTAGATGTTGGCAGAGCGTCTGAGTGTCTGGGACAAGGTACGGGGACATGGCAGATTGAGATTTGGGGTGCTGAAGAGTTCCCTCCAACTGCGAGACCTCCAGCTAGGAGCAAAGTATTAAACGGTTAGTTTTGCAACATGATGCAGACTGTGCAGTTAGTACAGAGTTAATTGAAGTCAGAGTTTCGTACCTTCCTTTTCCTTCAAACCTCACGTAATAAAGATGGGAGTGGGAACGTATCCCAAATCTTTCATATATAAAAGTACAAGTCATGTTAAACGGATGATCTGGGTCAGAAAGGCAAACTGTCAAATAAAAGCTTGAAAAGGGAGTAGCTCCCAAATATTTAGGATGCCAAGACTAGCTGGCTTGGGATCAGAGTCTACCATGATTACAAAAGAAGAGAAAGGTAACATGGAGACCTTCCAACACTTGGCTGAGCAACATGGGAATTGGAGTTAAATAATGGAGGTCACCTTTTTCAAATAATATAACAGAAGCAGATCCTAAAATGATTACATTTTTATATTATTGAATGAAATACAAGTCTCTGTGTATTTTGTAGTTATAACCCAATAATATAATACCAAAAGGGGGAACATACACTTCCAAATCCTTTTTATTGGGATATTTAAAGGACCACTCTAGGCACCCAGACCACTTCAGCTTAATGAAGTGGTCTGGGTGCCAGGTCGCTTTCCTATGCGACAGGCTGAATGCGCGCGCAGCTCTTGCCGCGCGTGCGCATTCAGCCCAGGAGGAGGATCGGAGGAGGAGAGGAGGCAGAGAGCTCCCCGCCCAGCGCTGGAAAAAGGTAAGTTTTTAACCCTTTCCCCTTTCCAGAGCTGGGCAGGAGGGGGTCCCTGAGGGTGGGGGCACCCTCAGGGCACTATAGTGCCAGGAAAACGAGTATGTTTTCCTGGCACTATAGTGGTCCTTTAAACAGAAAATTTAAAGAGACATTCCACTGTCCAAATACAAAAAATTAAAAACAAAACATAATTTGTAGATATATCCCATTTTAGTACTTTAGACCACTTTTCAGAACACAACACTTTTTATACATCACCCAATTTATTCTTAAAGTGTTTAGTCACAGAGCTAGATTGTAGGCTTGAGGAAGGCCACCAGGTCGAAACTGTTCCAGGCTCCTTGCTAAATGAATAAAACAACCAAGAACTATGGAGTTGCGTGGTTATTTGATTTCTGCATATGCTATACAGATACAGGTCTTGCACACTGATCTGTGGTTATCCATAACTGCATGCTAGTTCTAATCGTGTTTTTGTGAAGGTTGGAATCCCACTGACTACCAAAATAAGGGGTAAAATAACAGCAGTTTTTAAGGGTAAAAAAACACCATCTTATTATTTTACATTTTCTCACTGGTTTATAAAACATGATTTATCCTATTGGCTACCAGTTTTTGTTAAAAAGACAATTCCACTATATAAACACAAGAAAGAAAAAAATTATAATCATAAAAAAAATTAATGTTTAGTAGATATACCCCAAATAATGAATACCATTGGGGGTTATATCTAAAAACAGTTTGCTAAAGCTGCAGATCTTGTCTACAGTCTTTACAAGGCCTCCCCTTCAAACCCCACCCAGTCTTTCTGTGGCATCCAATCACAGACTTCCCAATGAAGCTCAATGAGAAGTCTTGACAAGCCACCTGCTCTGAGAAATTGCTGCTTCTTGAGTTTAGTTCCACCGAGCTAACCAAACCAGGAAGTAACAGGACTTAGTTAAAATGTAATCATACATTTGAAAACACGACTTTATGTGTAGCCCTTTTCTCTCTCTTGCCTGTGAGTTCCCAATGTGCGAAAAATCCTGGGTGATGATAGAGAGAACAACAGCCATCCCATCCCTGACTATCACATCGTAATATGAGAGCAGGAAGAAAGCGGGTACCTTGTCACTTTGGGAGGTAATGCGCAGTTTATGGTGAATATGGCCATGGAATGGGTATTAATGCTGACCTGTAACTACTTAGATTGTAACATAACCCAGTAAAAGCTGTGGGTTGTGCATTTTATTATTATTTTTTATAATTTTTTGAAGTTTCAATTTTATTTTAACAGCACGGTTATCCAGCATGACACGGAAATTACATTAACTCCTGCAGTGCCGTGCATGTGGATCCCTTACAGAAAACACACAGATCTGCAAAAACAATAATTTCTGTTGCCTTTAGATATACCAGACAGGTGGATTATATTTATTGAGGAATGCTTGTTCTGACACTTTCCCCTCACAGGTATCATTACACCTGAACTGCCAGGAGGTTCCATTAGATCTATATATAGCACGTATAAAGCCACGTACCTGCAGTCTGAGCTGTGCCATATCCCTCATAAGCCGATTTCTCCGAGCCTCTTCCTGCGCCTGGGGGGGGACAGACACACACAAGTTGAAAGATTGGCACTGGCACAGAGAGCATAAAATAGCACGAGATCTGATTTCATTTCCCAGCGGAAGTAAGAGTTGCTATTAATGAGTGAAGCCGTCACCACCAGTCTCACAGCCCGTGCCCTGCTGTAAGGAAAGGATTAATCTTCACTGTGAGAAGCAGAGAAAATATCCCACAATAAGCAGAGGCAGCGTCTATGTGACACTAGAAAGCTTCCAGTATATGCAGTCAGCTATATGTGCCAGAGACATACAGGAACAACCCAAGCAGTATCATGGTCAGCACAATCAGGGCCTAATCTAACTCTCTACTGAAGCATGGCTCAAACCATTCATTTTGGCTAAATGTTTAGCTGCCTGAGAATCGTGGGAAACTACATTTACTATCTGAATATCTACATTTTGGCCACCACTGGCTAAGAGTTGATCATCTGTGGCCCCTCAAGACCTGTGTGTAAAGAGATCAAGGGAGATATATGTTGCTTTAAAGGAGAATAAAGCTGTATTCCTAACACTAAAGTGTTCCTCTTCGCAGCTCCCCCTTCCCCGGCAAAGAAAGGGTTAGAAATCCTCTTTACACTGACCTTATTTCAGCAAAGTGGTTCCTCCACACTGGCTCAGCCAGTGCTGAGTGTGAGCCTAATGCTCATGTGTGGCGAGCATTGCTTGTATATTTGGCCTCCCCCCTATAGGAAAGCATTAGATCAATGTGTGAGGACGTCCAGCATTGTTTCACAGAGGCAAACTGTGTGAAACAGCAGGAAGCGGTAGACAGCCACTAGAGACAGTTTTAAAAATAATATTTTAGGGGAAAGGGACACTGCACCAAGACCACTTCAAGCAGATTAAGTGGTCTGGGTGCCTATAGTGTCCCTTGAAGCCAGAGAGTTTGTTGACTGTACTTCCTCCAGTGAAGACCCTAGATTTAATATAATAGCCTCTCAAAGATCAGAGCCACTAGTGAACCAAGTACTATTAACTGAGATGCAGATTGGAGTGCAAGATGGGATGGGGAACAGGCTGGGTATATTGCTCACCATTCGGAACTGTGCCTGTGCCTGGTGCATGAGGTTGTCCTGCTCGTATTCAGAGATACTGGTGAAGAGTCCCAGCTCGGTGTTATACTGCAGGACATTGACTTGCAGACGAGTCAGAAAGTGCCCAAAGCTTCGGATGTAGCAGCTGCGTACAATGGACTGGGGAAAGAAATGGAACAAGTCATTACTAAAGAATTTCTGGGGCAATATAAAAAAATAAAAAATCACTTTCTCTACTGTGGTCGAGGGACGTTATAAGTAAGATCTTGTATTTTTGATGCAAAATGCAAAAATTCAGCCATTCAGTTACTAAAGATGATGTCCCAGGATTTACCATAGAGAATCCTTCTCGTAATTAATTCATAAATATCTTCACCAATTCAAATTCAGAACAAAATACTAGAGATTTCATATTACAAAAATGCACATTCAAAAAAAAAAGGAATAAGTTATTTGCTTGGATTTAGAAGTCATGCAAAGGTGTCAATATATAATCTGCCCAAGGCATTCAGGCTATCGGTGTACTTTCAGTAAGAGGGGGAACCCAAATTTTTTTGCACAGGTAAGTGTGCTTTGTAATGTTTCTTGGCTGCAATCCTTATCCCCATTAAAACACATCTAGATTTGCTGGAGTGACATAAAAGACTACCCACAATTCTAAAGATGATGGTTATTTATTTAAATTAATGAGCAGTTTTGAATTCCTTCACAACCCCCCCAAATAAATATATATAAAGGAACACTAAAATCACTAAAACATTAATTTAATAAAGCGTTTTTTGTGTATAGATCATGTTCCTGAAGTCTCACTGCTCAATGCTCTGCCATTTAGGAGTTAAAATCACTTTGTTTATACAGCCCCAGCTGTATAAAGCAGTGGCATGATCTAACAAAACTGCTTAATTAAGCTAAAGTGGTTTTGGTGTCTACAGAGTCCATTGAAAGTCGAGGTCTATCTAGGGAGAATAGAACATGTGCAATCAATGACAAGAATAGTGAATTATTTCACATGTACTAAAATATCTATTCACATATAGCCTGACAGTTTCTAAAAGGATATGAATGTTGTCTGAAACATCCTGAGCGCATGTGAATATTTTTCACGTATGAAAAAGATTTAAGTTGATTCAGCAAACTAACTGTTTAATCGTGGTAATCTAACGAACACTTGGCGAGGTGTAGTCCGGTAAGGCTTGTAGAACAATGTAAATTGAAGATACTGTACTCTATAAACATGTGGCAAGGATCACGGTTTTAAAACGTTATTATAAAAAAAACAACAAAAAAAACAGCAAAACACGAAACAATAGTTTATCTGACACTTCCGGTCCATGGACTGGGACTTAATCATAGATTAATAGGATTTAGAAATAAATAAAACAATAACTCCATCAAACATAAGCACTGCATACCTCTTCCAGTACAGTGAGTACGGGTCTCTCTTGCTCGAAGTTGACCTTCCTGTGTGCAGCTCTCAAAGGAGGGAGGTTCCGCAATGCTGTGTCCTCAGGGAGCAACAGGTGTTGCCGGATCTCTGGGAATTCTGATTCCGGGAGAAGGTTTTTCACCTCATTACACAGTGTGATCCCTGTAATAATGGACAGTTTATATTATAATCCCAGACATGAAGAGATTGCTGGGTACAAGGAAATAAAGGTTTCAGTTAGCCATACTATAGAATAAATCAGTTCCAGTAGCAGGAATAAACAGTAATACCCGAACACTAAATTACTCCATGATTTACACGTACCAGAGTCGAGAATCTTTCCAGCAGCAGGTAAGAGATTTAAAAGGACTGATATTCGGTTCCACAAACTCTGGGAGCTCTGAAGGAATAAAAACAATTTTGTTTATTTAACACAGAAATTCAATTTAATTCCTTAACATTTAATCAACACAGTTCTACACAGAAAAAAAAACAACAGCATAAAGTTGGTCAGTCACACCTGTCAAATTTAGCTCCACCCAATCCAAGAGTTGTTTAATCAAATCATGTCAGAAACATTCTATAGGGTCCTAACTCATCGGATACCCCCCAAAAAAGTGAAATACACAATATTTTCAAACTTTCTAACTTGCACATAGTGCCTATTAAATGCTAGATTATGATAACATATCTAAAGGGTCTCTCATTTAGACTGGAAGAAAGGACAACGTCTAAGGCAGTGATGGCTAACCCTGACACCATGAATTGTTCCTGAGCATCATGGGAAATGTAGTCCAGAAACAATTTATGGTGTCAAGGTTAGCCATCACTGGTCTAAGGCAAAGCAAAAATGTTCTTTACAGTAACAAACATGGAATGCTCTGCCTGAAGAGGTGGTTTTATCAGTCTATACAGCTTTTTAAACAGTGACTGGACACATTCTTGCAAATACTTAATATTGAAAGATACCATATTTAAAACGTGAGGCAACAGCTCATTGACCCAAGGAGAGATCTGACTGCCGTTCTAGGGTTGAGAAGGAATAGTTTCACCTTCTTTTGGATCAGCAGCAGAAACATGTGAGAATGTTTCAACATTATGGACACAAGTCTTTTTTCAGCCTATGTAACTATATATAGAGAGTAATTCTGGGGCAAAGGGCTTAATATGGAGTAATAAGAAGGATCCTCTCTTGTTGATGAATCATGGCTTCACTTTGAATTGTACAAGCCTAATAACACATTTCTGTTATAGGCTTTTAAGACAACACTTTTTTTCCCCCTTTAACACCTTAAGGACCAAACTTCTGGAATAAAATGGAATCATGACATATCACACATGTCATGTGTCCTTAAGGGGTTAAAAAACAGACTAATAAAAAGTGTCTCATGTTAATCAAAGCATTATGTTATGTACCTGTGCACACATGACAATTATATCCGTGTTGGCCCTCAGCCAATCCAGAAAGATTTTGACACTGGTCAGCAGCCCCTCGCTTGTGATGACCTCCAACCTTTCCTGGATCGTTCTCTCGTTACGGCACGATTTGCTGCTCAGGACACTCTCATCAGAATCCGAAGCATCTTGAATTTAGAGGATAACGAAATGATAAAAAAAAAAAGATAATCAATCCTGGGGACTAAATCTAGCATTTTCTTACATCCACAGAAAACTGACATCTGCAAAATACTTTGTTGCTTAAATTTTCACATCAAATTTTCTATTTATTATGGTAACAAGAGGTCTCGGCATCAAAATATAACAAAAAACAAACACCTAGAACAAACATGAGCTCAGATAGATCAACACCACTTCATCAAGCGACCTTTCTTCCATGTAATAAATATTATTACTTTTGTTTGGTTAACCTAATTACACCCAACATTGGTCAAAGAAAACAGAAAGCTGGTAGGCAACTTATTAACCAAACATTTTTTGCAAGGAATAACTACTTGATCTCTAGCGTTCCCCAGTCTTTACCTTGTTCCAGTGAGACTGACTTTTCCACATCCCCATTCACTACTGGGGCCGGCTCTTCAGAGCAAGGGGGGGCCGGTTCTGGCACAGGCTTCACAAACAGATTGGTGAACGTCGGTGCCAGACGGAAGCAGCGTTTGGTTTGAAACATCTGGGTAGACATAGCCTGCAGGTTGCTCGCTATACTGGATTCACTAGAGGCCACTCCAGATCCATTTACCGGGAGTTCATGACTCTCGGTCTTTGCAGAGTTTACAGTCTTCAACTCTGGCTCCTCTGTTGAGATTTCTGATGGGCCCTTTGCTTCCTTTGCGCACGCATTCTCCTCCACGTTGTCGTCCTCAATATCCTCCAAGTCAGAACGTGATTCTTGACTGTTCATATCGGAGTCTGTCTCCATATCAAAAGCAGCCTCTTCATCGCTCTTCTCGGACGCACTTTCAGAAATGTCACTACCTTTGGCTGAGCCATGGCTGGAATCAGAGTCAAAGCCTTCGCTCAAGTCACTCTCATCCACTTTTCGAGCATGCCTTCGCCTACGAAGTCGAGACAGGCGCGAGTACTTGTGGCTTTTCTTGCCATTCTTTGGCTTTGGCTGTTTGGTGACCTGGTTAACGGGTATTTCTGGCTCCGTTTCCGGGTCTCTCTCAATAACTTCTGAAATCTCTTTCGTATCTGGGTCATCTGAAGTAGAAAGAGGTAACTAGTCAGAGGAAATAGTGAAGACATAACCTTACTGAACAAGAAATACAGTAAACATTGCTGTTTCTTAGATTCCCACCCAGAGTAACAGGAGTGTGATGGACAGAGGTCATACAAGTTGGCAGAAGGAAATCCCACCTGGGCTGTTGTTCTGGAATGCAGGCACGGGACTCTCCTCCAGCTCAGCTTGCAGCCTTATGTTAACGTGGTTAACCAGATGCGAGAAAAGTGCAAGGGTGAATGCAATGGCAGCGCTGTACTGCTTTGAATCTGCGAAGATCAGAAGAAAAAGAATGTTCACTTGGTAAACTGTTCAAATGTACTCGATCAAGGTGATCCCCTGCTGCAATAGGAGCTCCTTATAGTGCAACCAATTTATTACCTAAAATCTCTGGCTGCAGTGGTGACAGGGTTTAATTATAGGGCAAGGCAGGTTGTTACCCAGAATCCCCGTCTGCAGTAGTAATGCTATAGAATAACACCATACCACATCAGTATTCCTCCAATATAATGGCATTGTTAGAGTGTGACAGTAAGCATACGCATGGCAGTGTGTAATCAGTCCTTTTCAAATAAGGGCTAAAACAGCCGATCTGTAAAAAGTGCCAAACTCTGTTATAGACACAGATTGGCTATCTTGCCACCAGTTCTTACGTTTAGTTTTCTGCTTACTACAGTTATATAGTATTTAGTAGATACACCAATGTTTTAAATGTGATCCAATACTGCTACCTGCACGCTTTAAACTGTGGACGCTCATCAGACAGATAGCCACCATCCTAAAGACCAGCAAATCAGGTAGGAAGGAATATCCCCCATCATACTCCTCCTCGTCCTCGTTGGCTGAGCTCAGACTGAGAGATGAAGGCAAGTAGAACATGCAGAGGTTAAAGTCTTCAAGGACCGACTGGCAAAGGGAGGTCAATTCAGAGTCCACAGAGCTGGAGACATAGAAAGGACAGAATGTCATAGTACATTCCGGAATCTGATATAAACAGAGAATACATTGTGTGCTACACAGAAGGGGATAGAAGTCCAGAGAATCACTTTAAAACCTTTTTCTTTAAATCATGGGTGTCTAATCTGGCTGGCTGTGTATATAAGCTATCGCTCTTAATTTATTCTAGCTCAACCTGATCACCTGCTGTGTTTCAGACAAGGAAACATTTCAGAACACAAAAGTTAACTCCTATTGGCTGCAAATGCCTTTTCGGTGATCCTACAGCAAGCAGGACTTGCAAGGATGAGCACGGAGGTTAAAAAGGGATGTCTGGTTGAGACATCTAATTCAGCCAGTGAGATTTCCACACAACCAGTCCAACTGGAAACACTGTGAAGGTGTGGACAACAGGTACTCACCTACTCTTTGGCTGCAACAGGCTTTGTAGATACATGAAACTCACAAGAAATCGCTTTATATCCTTGCATCTGAAAAAAAACAAAAGAAAAATATCAAAATTCATCATCTTTATATTATTTTCAACACATGGGCAGGCTTTCCAAAAATATCTCCCAAAATGCATTGCAAGTCTGGCTGCTTACCTTGCAGCCATCTTGTTTTATCATTCGCAAGCACTGTGGTAACAAAACATTACAGGGCAGAAATGCTGAAAGTTTACGAGAAGACACAAGGAAGCCACTTACCTTAAGGATACAAAATAGAGCACTTTTTTATATCAGAGGTCAAAACTTCAACAATCAATAGTTTTCTTAATAAAGCCACATTTTCCTTTAATTATACAGTATGCAACTATACCAGGGAATGAGGTTAGCCATGTTTTTACATGTCCCAATGCTATAAGCAGGTAAATGTTATAAGGAGTATATATGCACTATAACCACTCATGGTGGAAGTGGTGAGAGCGCAAGGATTCTATATGTGAAGCGTATCTTCCAGAAACACTGGAAATACAGACAAATTCCACGCAACTTTTTACCAGACAATGTGCTTTCTAACCTTCTAGTGGCTGTCCCTATTAAATACTGGAAATTATCTCGTTCCAAATTAGGAGCCAACACTTATACCTGTACCCCTGATTAACAACCCTGATTTTAAAGGTAAACCATCAATCCTTCACAACACGGGTTACCTGAGGTATCAGCTCTTTAGTCGACTTGTCCAGCCATAAATTTATATCCCTGGAAGATATTAGGGAGCATTTCCCAGACCTTCTACTACCATGGTGTGTCATTATTTCGAAACGATCATATAACACCTTGCACCTGTTGATTGGGAGAACCCATTGGATACTCTATTATGAACCTCACACCCTGCCTCATACTCTATTCCCAAATTACTCCCTCAAAATATATACTCCAAACTGGGACATGATACAAACAGGATTAGGCAGATGGAGAACACATCTTTCTGATGTCAGTCCAACAGATATCTTCATTGCACACAACATCCAATACCAACTCTTACCCATTGTCTCCTAGCAAGACAAGTTCTTTAAAAGCATTAATTATGCCTACTATTCTCCACACCACCTTTAGCTCACGGCTAGCAAAGACTCAGCAGCCTGTTTAAAATACACACACACAATGCTCACTTATATCGCTGTCTCTGGGGGTACAGCCTTATCAGGTCCTTTTGGAAGAACATAAATCACCACTTTGACAACCAAAACATGCCCTCTTCGCTTCTTAATCCAGGGTTTTTGGTCTTGGGATCCCTTCCGCGCAAAGCAACACTCCAGTTTTGGAGCCAGCCAGCTGCACCTTTTCTGCATCTATTCTTAACCAAACTCAACTTTCTATTCAAAATGGATTAGATGAACACTTTGACCACCAAAGAAATTTTAATTTAAGAAATACTTCCCACCTTGGACAACAACTCCTTCCTAAACCGTTTAGGTTTAGGGCTTATAGGCCCTATAGCTTTATCACATAACTGAACACGTGATTATTCATGGCCTATTGTTACCTCCAAGTCTGGGTAACTGCCCCATGCCCCAAACCAGCACCTTACTTTTTACAAAAGACAATGAAGGGTTCTATCATTTAGATCGTCGATATGCCTTGTTCAGAGAGGGACAGGGTGGAAAACATATGTGAGGAGACTGACAAGACAAAACGGTGGCTAAACATTACGATGAACGAGTTTGTATTCCCTTTTTCTCTATAATAGAGAGAATTAAAATTGTTTTGGAATATTACATTTTTTTTGTAATCTTATATAAAAGACGAACTCCGTAAGGGAGAAGAAATCCCCCTTGGGGTCGTATTGGTTATAGGTATACAGAGAGGCTTAAATGCATCAGAAAATAAGTAAATTGGGACCTGCTCCAAAATAGACAGCTAGGTACCGAAAAAGATTACCCAAAAAGTATTAGAGTACTCAACGACAGTTAAAATTCCTAAAGAAGCAATTGTATTCGTATATAGACAACAAAAAAACCAACCATGTGAAAAAACAAAACAAAACAAGTGTATATAAACATGAAAGTGAAAAAAGGGGGTAAAATTGGGAAGATATTAGAGATATGAATCTAAAGGGTTCAGAGAAGGCTTATACATGTATCTATGTAGTTAACAATATTGCAAACCTGCTGATTCAAATTGCATTATACAAGTAACGAACTAAGTATCAAACTAATGTTGCAATTTAAATAGTAAAAATACAGAAGATTAGATAGGGATAAATAGGTAGACAGATGGTCCAACTGTATGATGAATGAACGGCAAAATATAGACACACAGATATATAGTCTTATCATAAGAAAGCAACAGCCTATTTGGAAACTTGAGCCACTGTCCCGTAGTAGGCAATTTTAGGTGTCTATACCTAAGAACAGTATGCTGCAGTGTATCACAAGTCAATTTCAATTAGGACTGGGAGACTAGCAGGGTTTTAGTCGTTCAAACCAGTTGTGGTTCACCTACTAACTTAGGTAATGTTATCAGGAAGTGAATAGCGGTAAACAGAGGTGTAAATGTCATTTAAGATATAAATACCACTAAATTGCTAGACACTTAGCAACAATCTGTTAGAATGTCTAGCAGCACTAGAGAGAATACACCCGAATTACGATATATAAAGGATAGTGTTTTAGTGTATAGAATTAGTAGTATAGAATATAGTAAAAGACAGTACTACTATGACATTCGATTCCCATTAAATCCACCTCTTAGGCTGTTACAGGTTTAGTCTGTACTAGCTTACAATGCTATTTTCAGGCAGCCCTGATAGAATTTGACTAATTTAGCCTTTTAATGAAGCTAAAGAACTAGCAACACTAGAAGGTATACAGCAAACTATAGTATAAGGTCATTGGAGATTCAATATGAGAATATAAATGGTAATAAAAGCAATAAATTCCTAATATTAGATTGCAAGAGTATCCACCTCTCCAGCCGATCAAACACTTATCTGTACTAGCACTAAATGCTGCTTTGAGGCAGCCCCTATTCTAATGTACTCCTCGAGAACAATCATACATAATAGTCTAGCGCAGGCGTCCCCAAACTCCGGCCCTCCAGATGTTGCTGAACTACAACTCCCATGATTCTTTGAATGAAATAGACAGGCTGAGAATCATGGGGGTTGTAGTTCAGCAACATCTGGAGGGCCGGAGTTTGGGGAAGCCTGGTCTAGTGTAAAGTAAATACTAGTATTAGGAGCGTCTGTTGGATAATTAAAGACAGTAGGACTAAAATATAGGCAAGTACCCCACGTACTAACACTTCCCAAAGTAAAATAAAATCTAAAGCATGCGCTCGACGCGTGTTTCGGCACTTTAATGTTTATATACACTTGTTTGTTTTTTTCACGTGTGTGTTTTTTTTTGTCTATATACTAATAAAATTATACAATTGCTTCTTTAACAATTTTAACGGTCATTGAATATTCTAATACTTTTTAGGTAATCTTTCTCAGTACCTATCTGTCTATTTTGGAGCAGGTCCCGATTTACTTCTTTTCTTTTTTGTAATCTTATATACCATGAATTTACCTAACTTATCCAAGTGTTTTCTTTATTGTTTCTAATCAGGGTATTTGCTAATATCAGACATTCCAAATAAAAAAATGCATTTAAAAAAAATAAATTAAAAATAGACACGTTAAAGTAATTATTATGGTGCAACTCCTCCACCGTCAACACACATCAGTCTGCGTTGAACCAGAGCCACAAGTGGACTAGGCAGAATTTCTATAACTTGAGCATTTGCTGTTAGTATGCACAGCCAGAACCTGCAGATACTGCAATGTAAGCATGACTGTTAATGTAGGTTGTGCTTTGCTGCCTAACCCTCCCAAATACCTGACTGTTGTGTGCCAGGCTCTCAGCCAATTGATGTCCTGTGCTTCTCTGTGTGAAACACTAGATTGGTTGACAGCTGTCCAATCAAATGCTTCTCTGTGAAAAATCAAGTCACTGAACTGTCACAAACAAGGATATTATTGGACAGCAAATTGGAGGATCAGCTTAATAAAGCCAGTTTTAAAAGAGAAAAAAAAATGAATTCATGGTTGTTTTTTTTAATGCATTATACTTAGGAATTTAAAAAACATATATGCATTGATTAGCCAACGCAGGTCTTTGCCAAAAAGTAGATCCCCAGATGTTTTAGAATTACAAACAACAACTGCCTCAATACTTTTGCCAGCTTTTACAAGGATTTATGATTTGCTCAGCCCTAACCGTGAATATTCCTTTGAATACTTACAAGGTGATTGTAACGTGCCTAGCAGCAAGCTATTACTCTCACCTTTTTTTGCTGGGGGCAAGTTTCCTGGTCTCACACTTCTTCAGTTGATGATAGGTTTTCCCCGCTTTGTTGTACAGTCTCTTCAGGTTACCGTAAGCTCCATCAAAAGACACCTCAGACTGGATACTGAAAAATGTAGAGAGAGCTGGTGGTGAGTGCCAATTGGTTAACAAATTCCTACAGCAGATTTTTGTTTTATTTAAATTTAACACCATTTAGAGAACTTGTGTTATAGGGACATTTTAAGCTCATCGTAGTGGTTATGTTCAGAAAAGAAAACAAACATAATATGATCAACTATATGTACTATTTCTGGTAACTCCAAAATTAATAGATAAAATGAGAGCACTGCACGTTATACATAAACACAAAAAATCTTGTAATAGAAGACTCCCCCCATTAAGTCAGAGTTTCAGTACGACATGGCATACTTTCATTTTGTTACGATAAAAGTTTGCCATACAAAACTGAAATGCTGATCTAATAAATTGATTGCAGAATTATACTTTGATAACGTGCAGCTTTTTTTGAGGAGGAATAAAAACAAAAAACCTACTTGTCCAAGGGACTTAAGTGATAACCCAATCACGACACACAAAGTAATTTTAAAAACTGGGGTCTCTACCCAGAGCATCCTTTCCTCTAGCCCTGATAATCCAGTGGGGGGATATTATTAATTTTGGAATATATATGTAGTGCCAACTTATTCTGCAGAAGTTTATAATATTATAAAAAGGAGAAATTTAACAATAAATGAGACAATTACAAATTGTTACAGGAACAACAGGTTTATGAGTACCCTGCTTGAAAAAACTTACAATCTAGAGGTGAGATAAAGAAACACAATATGACGGGCAGCGTGGGCAAAGCAACCAAGAAACAGGGCAGGAATGTAGCAGATTTAGAAGGTGAAAGTGGAGTGTGGCCCTTTAAGAGAGTGAGCTCCATGTTTGTGAAATAACAGTTAACCTGGGAGGCAGTAAATTAATCCAAAGAGATGGGTTTTGAGGGACTTAAATGATTGAAGACTTGTGGAGAGTGTGATGGGAGTAGGCAGGTTGTTCTAAAGGAGTGGAACTGACCGCGAGAAGTCCTGCAAGAGCGAGTAAGGACAGGTAGCAGCAGCGGGTAAGAAAAAGGTCACCGGCAGAGAGGAGCGACTGAAAAGGGGCTTACACTCACTCAGGAAGAAATGTAGTGGTGGGTTAAGTTGTTTAGAGATTTATCGCTAACGGTTAATATACTAAATTGACTCCTATAGGGTACAGGAGGACAATTTAAGGATTGACAGAGGGGAGAGGTGTGTGAGAGGCGATAAAGGAGAAATCAGCCCGGCATCTGCATTCAATTAGGAGAGAATTACACTAATCAATGAAAACTATTACAAGAGCGTGAACAAGCTTTTTAGTAGAATCTTGTGTAAGAAAAGGGCAGATGTTGGGCTAGGTTTGTAAGGTAGAATTTTTAGGATTTGGTAACAGACTGGCTGCAAGGCATAAAGGTGAGGAAAGAGTTAAAGATACCACTAAGAGAGCAAGCTTGCAATGACAGCTGATGCAGGGAGAGTGAAAGAGGAGGATTAGCATTATGACAAAGGAAGAGAAGAAGCTCAGTTTTAGATTGATTTAGTTTAAAATGGAGTTCTAGAAAGTGGGAGGACATCCAATCAAAGATGGAACAGAGACTACTGTTGGCACGTTTAGGTCAGGAAGAGAGAGATTTATCTGGGTGTCATCAGCATACAAGTGGCAGTGGAATACAAATGAATTAAATGACCACTATAGGCACCCAGACCACTTCGGCTTAATGAAGTGGTCTGGGTGCCAGGTCCAGCTAGGTTTAACCCTTTTTTCTATAAACATAGCCGTTTCAGAGAAACGGCTATGTTTATACATGGGTTAATCCAGCCTCTAGTGGCTGTCTCATTGACCGCCGCTAGAGGGCTTCCGCGCTTCTCACTGTGATTTTCACAGTGAGAAGACGCCAGCGTCCATAGGAAAGCATTGTGAATGCTTTCCTATGGACTGGCTGAATGCGCGCGGGGCTCCTGCCGCGCATGCGCATTCAGCCGAAGAGGAGGCGGGGAGGAGGAGGAGAGCTGGAAAAAGAGGTAAGTTTAACCCCTTCCTCTCCATCCAGCCCGCCGGGAGGGGGACCCTGAGGGTACTATAGTGACAGGAAAACCAGTATGTTTTCCTGGCACTATAGTGGTCCTTTAACAAGTTTGCTGTGGGATGGGATGCAATATTTAAAAAATTAAAATACATTTAAAAAAATGGACAGCGAACAGAGCCTTTGGAGACTCCAACTGAGACAGGATAAGAGGAGGAGGAGTTATAGGAAAAGGAGACAATGAATGAACGTGGGGATAGAGAGGACGAGAATCACGAAAGGACATTGTCACGGAGAGCGAGAGTGGGAAGAGTTTGAAGAAGGAGAGCATAATCAACAGTGTTAAAGGCAGCATAGAGGTCTAGAAGAATTAATGTTTAGTATTTGCCTTTGAATCTAGCCTTGATTAGATTTCTTATTACTACTTAGAGTGGTCTTAGTAGAATAGAGGGGGCAAAAGATTGAAAAGGATCAAGGAGAGTGTTGGAGTTGAGAACGTATGTCAGAAATGTAAAGACCAGTAGTTCCATAACCTTTGAGGATAAAGAGAGCAGAGATATGGTATGGTAGTTAGAAGGTTTAGATGGGTCAAGAGATTGCTTTTTTACGATGGATACAACAGTAGCATGTTTAAGGAGAGTGTGGACAACAGAAAAAAGAGCAGTTGAAGATGTGCTTCAAGGATGGCACAAGACAAGCGGAAAAAGATCTGGTAACGCAAGATGAAATGGGATTGAGTGGACAAGTGGTGGGGCAAGAATAAGCAGGAAGGTAGCCTTAAACTGTTCAGTAGGCAGTAAGAGTGACTGAAGGGTTGGAAAGGCATAGTCCAACTCTGGGGGGATTCTTTCCTTAACTGATGAATCTTGCCAATAAACTAGCATACAAACTTCTCAGCTGAAAGGATAGTTTGGGGGTGGTGAGGGCATGACGAAAAAGAGAGTGCGAAGTATCAAAGAGACACTGATTCTGAGAGTATGTACTAATGAGGGAGGAAAAGTAGGATTTCTTAGCAATGGTAAGGGACTGTGCTGTAAGATGATTTTCTAATGGAGAAAGTCTGATAAGACACCAGATGTCCTCGAGGAGCGTTCAACTGAAAGGGAGCATCTCTGTATGAGAGTTGTATGTTTAGAGCATGGCTGCAGTGTCCAGTTCAGAGGTGAGGGTAGTGTTATACTAGGAGATAGCCAGAGAGGGGCAAGAGAAGGTAGAGATGGACAAGAGTTAAGATCAAGTTTAGCTAATGAGAACCTAGGGGAGCCGGGGAGGGCAGTATATAACAAACATTTGCAGGGGAACAAACATCTTGGAACTGGCTGTCCCAAATATCAAGGGCTGAAAGAGGAGCTAGACAGAATGTGGAAAGTGAAGGTAGGAATAGTCCCAATTATGACAAGAGCACTTGAGGCAGTGACCCCCAACCGCCAAAGTTAGGAGAGTGGCTTCAGCAGATTCCAGATGGGGTATTTGAAGCTCTACCCAGAAGAGTGCAATTCTAGGAACAGCCAAGAACCCGCAAACTCCCAGCATGTGAAGGAATATTTTACGAACAAGAAAGGTATACATGAGATCAATCATAAAGGTCTACTGGGAAACAGAAATATTTAAACATTACAAGAAGAAAAAAAAAAAGATCTTTAACAAAAGATAACAAATGGTTAAATTACATGGCTAGTGTTCCACAACTGATTTCTGTAATGTATTCTGTGCAAGTCAACATTTCTTGGGAGCGTTATGCTGGGAACATGCCCCCTCTGCTGGTAGAACTACGGAACAGCACTGAAAGAATGTCATTTGGCCATAGACTACATGCTATAAATACAAATTTTGCCCAAAGGGTGGGTCAGCGGTAGATCAAAGACTCACCAACGCATGTAACAGTAGGTAGCTTCCACGTGATAGTACTTGCTTCCCGCCAGCGTGCCCAACTGGTTAAATGGCATTCCTGTTACAAGAAAAAGCGGTTTGGGAACCTGAGCATGACATTCCTCGAGTGTTTCTTATTATGCATGCTATTCATTACTCATTAATGAAGCTAGCCACAGAACAGTCTGAAACAGACATACTGATATATGAATGTGTTTCTCAGTTTAATGGAACATCGAGTCAAAAAAAAACCAAAAACCCATACAAATCAAACCTGTGACACTAGTACATTTAAAAAAAAAAAAAAAAAAGGCTTTTGTTCTGCGAGCCCCAGTGGTCTGCCCCTTTCATTGCCGCTTCATAGTATGCACTCCAAACATTCACACTTTACAAGGGGAGTAAACAGAGTGGGTACCGTACACAGGCACTGACCAAATCTAAATCGAACATCCTTTGAGATAAAATCTAGATAATATGACTGCATTGGCACGAATGAGTGTCTTGATTTACAGAGATTACAGTATGTCAGTTCCGTGGGTCAGAAAGGACTCCCCCCACCCATTACAGCCAGGTACACCTTAATGCAGAAAGTGATGATGCATAAAAAGGAATAACTGAAAAGTCAGCTTACCGATCTGGGGTGCAACAGTTAGTGCTTGATAGTAAAACCTCTCAGCCAGCTTTTCAGTGTCCACCAGAGCCAACTCGTTCTGATAGCGTGCTACAGAGCGGAAAAAACAGGCTCAGAATTCTGTGTTTTATGAAGTTATAGTTCATTACTCTTTGCTAGAATATGATAACTAGTTAAAATGTATAGATAATACATTGCAATCAATTAAAGGAACACTATAAGTATCAAAACAACTTTAGATTAAGCAGTCTTTGTATATAGATCATGCCCCTACAGTTTCACTGCCCAATCCTCTGCCATTTGAGGAGTTAAATCTCTTATTTCTTTTTATGCAACCCTAGTCTCACCTCCCCAGGCTGTGACGGACACAGCCTGCATTTAAAAAAAGAAGGTTTACATTTTCAATCAGATGTTAACTTACTTTAAAGATGTTTAACTCCTGCTCTGTAAATTGAAATCTAATCATATACAGGAGGCCCCTGCAGGGTCTAGCAAGCTATTAAAGCAGGAGAGAAGAAATTCTACGTTACACAAAATTTTCAATAAAGGATATGTAAACTTTAGATGACTTTACAGGAAGTGTTTAAGAAAGCTGTGTAAGTCACATGCCAGGTGGTGTGAATAAACAAAGTGATTTAACTCTTAAATGACAGGGAATTGAGCAGTGAGACTGCAGGGGTATGATATGTAAAGCTAAAGTTATTTTGGTGCCTATAGTGTCTCATTAAAAATATGAGCAGCACAAATCAATCTTACCCAAGTCTCCTAGGTACACAAGACATCTGTGACACGCCATCTGCGCCCAATCCATTTCTTTCACAGAGGCAGACACTGGCTTCTTACAGCCTGGAAGAGGAATGGAAATCACACAATCATATTCAGGGACTGTTAAAAGAATGATTCTGAAGTCATGAGCTACAAAAACCCAAGAAATGAACCGTCGCTAATAAAAAGTCTGCACAAAGATCACTATACACAAAATAGCTGGTGTCCCATAGAGAGCCAGTTTCACCCTAGCAGATAAAGGATTTGTATAGCTTGTGCACAATACCTATAGTTTCATTTATTGGGCAAAATATGCCACAAAGAACTAAAATAAGAACCGAATGTGCAATGCATTTAATATGGGTGAATCACTATGTGCTGTGCCAAGTTTATTGTTAAATACTATTTGGTCTGTTGCAATCTGTGCCTCCCTTAGTGAGGTGATTAATAAGGCACAGTGACTGTCCAATAAGAGGGTACGTGACATGGGTCCAGTCGATAATCTGAGACTCCCTTACTGAGGTTATTAATAAGGTACAGTGACTGACCAATGAGAGAGTCCGTGACATGGGTCCAATCAATAAGAGCCTCCCTTAGTGAGGTTATTAATAAGACAGTGACTGACCAATGAGAGGGTCCGTGACATGGGTCCAGTCGATGCAGCACTGTAGCTCAAGTTGGTAATGTGACTGGATGTAGAGCAGGAGGTGCTGGTAAAACCCGACTCCTGCAATCAGATGAGTGCGATATGCGCATTCCAAGGCACTGCGGCTATGGATGTGCTTTGGAGACAAAAGACAATATAACAGTTTATGTAATTCAATTTGTGGTACGTTGTATTGTATAAAGGCTGTATTAGTGTAAGTCTGTGCAACATTGAATCTCAAGACTTCATGACCCAAACTGCATATATGCTTCATATCTAAATAAAGGATACTCCTAAAATCAAACTGCAAAGAGAAGCCTGCAAGCGTTCAAGGAAATAGTGCTGGACTTTTTAAAAACAGATTCATACACCAGTTGCATCAGTCATTGCATTCCCTGCATCTATCACAAGAGCACCCCAAGTTAGCATATACCTGAAAAAACTTTAAAGAAACATTGTAGGCTGGAGTGAGCTTTTACCAATTTTTTTTTGTTATTAAATATATACATAATGAACTTAGACAATAGCTAGTAGATTCTTCTTAAAATAAATACTTTTATAAAATGTGAAAAAGGAGACAGCCTCTTAAACCCGTAAAATAGTCTTATACTCCGCTGCTGTAATACAAGAAAAATGCTGAAGATATCTTGTCTTCAGCCTTTGCAAGCCCTAACCCCTTCTTCCCCAGCCCATATTTTTTGTGTCTGTCCAATCAAAGACTTCCCAATGCAGCTCAATGCTAGGTGTTTGCAAAGCAGAAGCCCTGCCTGTCTCTTGAGTTTAGCTCCACTAGCAGGACCAGGTGTCTAATTGACAACCGGGGGGTGTAACAGATTAATTTATAAAAGTGTAAATTAATATTTAAAATCTGTGGTTCTTTGTGTTTCTGCAGTGTTCCTTTAAGAAAAAATTATCTTGAACTAATATTCCTGCAATGTTGCAACTGTCTCTTAAATGTAGTCACCAGTGTGACACTGTAATCATCTAGCTGCGCATTGTTCAGTCTATTTTATTACAGCTTCTGATCTGAGTAACCTTGCATCTTTAGCTGGTTCTGAACACTAACCTTTAATTTTCTGAAAGCAATTATAAGAAATGCAGCCCTATAAAGAGATGAGGAACCATAGATGAATACTATCACACCCAGTGAGGGTCTGACTGTGTGCTGCTGTGTGCTCTGCGTCTTTACCTTCTTGTTGTTCTTGATGAGCTGAATAACTTCATAATAAACTTTTCGCCAGAGGACTTCTTCAGCCTTGCGTCCATACTCCACAGGATGTAAGAACATTAGCTTTACACACAGTTCTCGTAATCTGAAAGAGGGACATGCTTTATTATTACTGAAACCAGAGACAGAGGGAACAAACATCTTAAAATAGAAAGAAAAACAACCCAGAAACAAACGCTGCCAGCAATAATAGAAATTATTAAAATGGATTCATAAATCAATAAATGACGTTGAAACGGGCTGTGAAGAGGATACACAAACACAGACAGGCAAATAACTGACATTAAATGTGTACCATATGATTCAGAATTTCTAGGTAGCTCAAGAAAAGCCCACTAGTGGTTATGGTGTCAGGAGTGCCCTGATGCCTTTCCAGAATAAGTGGTGAAACCATTTAAAGGGACACTATAAGCATCCGGACCACTTCAGCTCATCGAAGTGGTCTGGGTGCACTGTCCCAGCACCTTTAATGCTACAACGCTAATTATTGCAGCTTTATTTATAAAAGTGCAGTAATTAGCTTTGTGGAGTTACGCCATCGCTAGTGGCTGTCTAGACAGGCACTAGAGGGACCTCTGGTCTCCTAATGCTGGACATCCTTATGCTATGCATGAGGAAACCCGCCGTCACCAGAATACCCATAGGAAAACACTGTAGAATGTTTTCCTATGGGGAAATCCTAATGAGAGCGGCCATTGCCACGCATGCACATTAGGTCTACCCGCCAGCTGATGTCGGAGGAGCAAAGGTGGACCCAAACCAGTGTCGAGTGTCATCAGCGCTGGACCCAGGTAAGTGACAGAAGGGTTTTTAAACTCCTTTTGCACCATAGGTTGGGGAACGTAGGCACTTTTTCCTGGCACTATACTTTCCCTTAAAGGAGCACTACAGTGCCAGGAAAAACAAACTCTTTTTCCTGGCACTATAAGGTTATTAGTTCCCTCCCTCCCGCTGGGCTGAAGGGGTTAAAACTGATAGGGATGGGGTTGAACTATGATGTTGTATGGGTCTATCGTGTTTCCCGAGTTGGCCTGCCGTGGCAAGTCTGGGGGGGGGGAGGGGGAGAGGGTATGTTGGAGTGCATGTGTTATTCTTGTTGAGTAGTGTCTCTGTTGTGTTCCGTTCCACCCCCTGTCCTCGCTTGTGATGTATACAGGTACCACGGTGTCCACAGTTCGAGATGTTTGTCTCTCCTCCCGAGTATGTCAGCGTATCTCGCCACGGCTGTATGGATCTCTTCTATTCTCTGGAGCCATTCCGTTTTAGTGGGCGGTTGGGTTTGCTTCCATCTTGCTGGGATCAGTGCTTTGGCTGCATTGAGCAGATGTCGTAGGATTGAGCGTTTGTATTGTGCCAGCTGTCCTGTAAAGAAGTGCAGGAGTGTGGCCTCTATGCTAAAATCTGGTGGATCTCCCAGAATTGCAGTGATTTCCCGGTTTATCTCTTCCCAAAATGGCTTGATCTCAGGGCAGTCCCACCAAATGTGGCGGAGCGTGCCTGGTTGTGTTTCACATCTCCAGCATGTGTCCGGGACCCCTGGAAAAATCCTGTGCAACTTTGCCGGTGTTCTGTACCACTGGGTGAGCAGCTTGTAGCTCACCTCTTGGTACCTGGTGCTTATCGAGCTTTTGTGCTGTAGAATGAGAATTTGTGCCCATTGGGTGTCCGTGAAAGTTCTGCCCATCAGTTCCTCCCACTGCCTCTTGAAGGCGTTATTTCTGGTGAGTTCCCCTGTAAGCAGTTGTTGGTATGTCCGACACTCTGCCATCCGCCTCTGGAGAAGTCTCGCAGAGGTGTTCAAACCAGATCCGTTCTCTATGTACTGCTCCCCTATCGGGCAAATTGTAGTAGAAATGCCTCAGCTGTGCGTAGTGGAATTTGTGCATTATCATCAGGCGTTCCGTGTTAGCCCAGTCTCGGAGGCTGCACAGGCTGGCGTCCGACAGGGCCGAGCTCAGAGGTACAAAGTCCTCTTCACTGTGTATTGGCCACGCGTTCGCGTGCAGTCCCCCCCCTATGGCCTCGTTGTATGTTAGGGGGATCAAGGGACTTGGCTGTGGTGAGACGTGCGTGTTCCTTCTCAGGAAGGCCCAGGTTTTCAACGTCTGCGTAACGGGGGATTGCACACCCAGAGCTTGTGCGACCCCTGTCGAGCGGTGCTCTGTTTGTGCTTTCCCTGTCCAGAGTCGCCCACAGTTTGTTGGTGGGGGCCGTGTGCCATTCTCGAATCCTCTGGAGCACTGTCGCTTGGAAGTACTTCTGAAAGTCCGGTAGAGCCATGGTTTGGGCAGGCATGATCTGTTGTGTTTGAGCCGCGGCCTCCCCTCCTTCCAGACATATTTCGTTACCGCTGATTTGAGCTTGGTAAAAAAAGTCCTGGGGTAGGTGCCAAGGGATGGTGCTAAAGCAATAGAGAAGGCGGGGGAGAATGTTCATTTTGACCACCGCTATGCGGCCCTGCCATGAGATGTGGTTGTACGACCATTTCTTCAGGTCTTTCAGTATGTTGCGAAGGACGGGTGTGTAATTCCTGTCGTATGTCTTGTCCGGGTTGCGGGAGAGCCATATACCCAGGTAGCGCATCTGCTCCTTGCACCAGTGGAAAGGGTAATTGCGTTGGAGTCTCTCCTGTGTGTTCCTTGCGGTGCGTATTGCCAGTATTTCACATTTTGCTTGGTTTTGCTTAAGACCTGATATCCATCCGTATTGCTCGAACTCATGCAGGAGGGCCGGCAGTGTGGTCCGAGGTTCTGCGACGAAAAAGAGCATGTCGTCCGCGAACAGCTAGGATATTAAGCAAAATGGATATTCATATCCTACAAATGGCACCTTGAGAATATCATACAGGAGCCTTGCATGAACTGGCTAAATAAAGATTCAACTAACAGGTCGCTAACGAGAAACAATAGGAAAAGTGGAAGGCTTGATGCTGCCAAAAACCCAGATTGAGTAGGCTTTAAAAATATCCCTTTGAACCCCCCATCAAACAACCAGGATCCCTCCAATTTCGTATTGCTAAGAGTCTACAAAATCTCCCCTATTGAAACTAGCTTCCTAAATAGCCATAGTGAACTGAAGCGTGCTGTGTTAAAATAAAAAGAAAAAAAGAAAAAGTAATCCGACGCGCATTTCGGCACTACTAAAGCGTCTTTGTCCGGGGGACTCCTACTCAGAAAGATTGCTTGGGCAATCGTGGTACTATAACATCTATAGTACTCAAAGTATTCCTTTAAAAACCACATCACAAAACATGCAATAATAAATTGAACAGTAAAGCAAAATGCTTGAGTTTTCTGAAACCGTGTTGATATCTTGTGAGATTACTAGAATCTAATAGCCAAAAATTATTTCAGAAACCACAAACAACAAATTACATTTTTTTTTTTAATTCTTTATTTTTGATGTACATGGTATAACAATAGCACTAACAAGCAGTAATGTAACGAACAGTTGAAACATAACGTGGTATATGAGTATACAGCACATTTTTAGTTCTGTAAGAGAAAATATAAACAGTGGGTGAGCGTAGCTTGAGATTTACAGAACGTTTGACTATGCCACAATGGCGGAGTTAAGAGATGTAAACACATCGTTTGTACATTAGTGACATGGAGATATCTGTACATTTTTAAAAGTTAAGTTGTAGTTTGTATGCTAAGTTAGGCTTTTATGAGCTTTAGTCTTGTGTGTCAGGTAAGGTTATAAGTAGTGATGTCGTGACCGTTCGCGAACTTCCTGCGAGCGGCTTGCCGCGAACCGTTCGCGGCGAGCTCCGGTCAGCTGACACATCCCGGCCAATCTCCAGCAGACCCTCCCTCCCAGACCCTCCCACCTCCTGGGCAGCATCCATGTTGAAGCTGCCTTCAACATGGATGCTGTCCAGGAGGTGGGAGGGTCTGGGAGGGAGGGTCTGCTGGAGATTGGCCGGGATGTGTCAGCTGACCGGAGCTCGCCGCGAGCCGTTCGCGGGAAGTTCGTGAACGGTTCGCGACATCACTAGTTATAAGTACAGGCTTAAATACAGATTGACTTACTGACATGTTAGAAAATAAAGTAACAAGCTTAACTAAATTAAGTGTAAAAGTAAAGTAATATACCACCAGGCAAAGCAGGGCAGACTATGTCATCGTCAGGATTAGGCATAAAAAACTAACTGGCATTTCTTAGAACGGGTGATTATAACATGAATGACATTGCAGTATGTTTAATTATAGAATGCAGCTGCAGTAACCGCTTCTGAGGCTGTCGGAAGGTTCCGTGATGTGTGGCTTAGGGGCCAGTCATCGTGTGATGTTGGGGTCGCCCCTGGCTCTGGTTGCATAGGAGATGTTAAAGGGCAGTTTATTCCCATGCTTGGGGATAGTCCCTATAAGAAGGTCCTCTGAGTCCCAAAGTCTTGCCAGAGGACACCGTGGTTGCGGATTGCCGGGTCTCCCGGTCGTCTGGTGGGTGTAAACGCGGTGCCACTTAAGCCGCTGTGTTCAGGTGCAGGCTGTGTTATATTAGGGTCGATGCTTGGGTATGCCTTCTCTGGGTGCACCCACCTGGTTGGTCTCTGGTGCCGGTGATGGGGAGCACTGGTTAGGCATGTTGTGGCAGTATGCTTCAGTGCACCGTAGGGGGTTCTCCATGTTTAGTCCGGTGGAGTTGTTAAGCCGCCGTCGCCCATTTTAAGGAGGCCTCGTGGGAGCTGTTTAGTCACCCTGTAGCTGTGTGTTGATGACATCTTGCTTGGTGGGGGCCGGGATAACCCCCGTCGGCCCAGAGGGGGGGTGAACGAGACCGGGAGGACACCAGCCATATCACAGTAGCCAGATTGGAATACGAGGCAGTGGCCGTTCGCCCCGCTCTCCTCCTGGGTAGGCCTCTGGTCTCAAGCCCCAAAATGTCTCTCCAGGACCTAGAGTCACCCGGTAACAGGTGCTCCAGCTACACCGGGACAATCCAGGACTCCGTTCCCCGAACCTCCAGAGATCTCATGCAGCATAAGGTGGGTATTTTCCCCAAAATTAGCTTGATTCCGCAGGAGCTCCAGTGACCTACAGCCTGTCGGCATGGCCGCCCGGCCCCGCCCCCCTCCCCCCCCCCCAACAAATTATATTTTTGAATTTATTACAACTTGGCTAGCTGCTAGACAGACATGGTTTTTCCCCTAATCTTCTCATCACGCAGGTATTATATGTGATGTGCAATAAAATAAACTAGCAGACACAAAGCTATAATTTTGCATCAATAAGACAATTTTCCATCTAAGTGGTTTTTGATGTTGAAGTGCTCAATGAAATTAGAAGAAACAGATTCAGAAAGTCTACTAATGCAGTTAGTCATAATATTTGATTTGTGGTTCACAAAAACACTTACTAGACACCTGAATTCAACACCTCTCCTGTGCCAGGGATTCTGGCCAAACATTTTCTGACAAATTAGCAGGAGACCCGGGGATAGTAACTTACTTGTTGCGGAGGCTGATGTTCTCAGGTTTAAAGACTTCTTGGTACGCAGTTTTGTTGGAGATGATGAGATCTAGCCTATGCACAGTCTCCACTACAGCCCTAAAAAAAAAAAAAAAAAAAGGTAAATTAATATCCTTTAAGAAACAGTGAAACAGTATAATCAATCAATCATGTCAAACTATATTTAGAAGGCCTGGTATAGTAGCAGGGGATTTGTTGTAACCTGGTCCTAAAGGCTGAACAGACACCCACAGTCGCAAAGTGAAAGGATCGTACTGTATCAGAATTAAAGGGATCCTATAGTCCCAGGAAACCAAACCTTTTTCCTGGCACTATAGGCTCCTACAGTGCCCCCCTCCCTTCAGCCACTTATTTCAATCAGGTGCCGATGTCGCTCGGCACTGGGTCAGGCCCCGTCGACGTTCCGCCGGTGGGGGAGACCTAATGCGCATGTGCGGCAACGGCCACGCGAGCATTAGTCCTCCCCATAGGAAAGCATTATTCAATGCTTCCCGACAGGGAAAATCTGACGCTGGAGGTCCGTGAGGATAACGGACCAAAGGTCGGTTTGGATTCCGGAAGCCCTCTAGTGGCTGTCTGTTAGACAGACATAGAGGGCAGACTTAGAGCTGCAATGTAAACATTGCAGTTCTCTAAAACTGCAATATTTAACATTGCAGCAATAAGTGCAAAGGGGTCACATGACTCCTACCGCTAAAGCATCTGCTGAGTCCAGGCACCATCTGCTGAGTCCAGGCTCTGGAGGTATCACCCCCCAATGACTTGTAGCGCTATAGGATCTACTGCGCCCCCCACACACACTGCAGAGATGAAAAGTATACCCAACATTCATAGTGCTATAGGCTCTATGAGCATCTCCCTCCGTCACTGAGTTTAGACGCTATAGGTTCTGTGAGTTCCCCACCTCCACTGACTCGTGACGCTACAGGCTCTGTGAGCTTCTCAGAGCCTGTGAGCTCTGTGAGCTTCTCGCTGACTCATAACCGCTATAGGGTCTGAGACTCTTTCTCTATCCCACTGACTCATAGCGCTATAGGTTCTGTGAGCCTCTTCCTGACTCAGAGCAATATAGGCACAGTAAGCCTCTTCCCTGAAATGACTCGTAGCGCAATAGAGTTTGTGAACCTCTTTACCCCACTGATTCAGAGCAGTATAGGCTCTGTGACCCTCTTCCCCAATGGCCTGTAGCACTACAGTGTCTGTCAGCGTCTCCCCCCCCCCATTGACTTCTGGCGCTACAGACTCTGTGAGCCTTCCCACTGCCTTGTAGCTCTATAAACTCTAAACCTCTTCCCTGCACTGACTCCTACCTTTACATGCTCCCCCACTATATGCTCTAATGAGCCTCTCTTACCTATTAAATCCTAGCACTATAGCCGCTGCTGAACCTCTCCTCCCATGAACTCCAAGTGTTAGGATCTCTGGGCCTCTTTTTCTTCACAAAATCATTACACAAAAGAGCACCTCTATACTCCCCCACTCTATACTCATTAACACTATGGACTCTGCCAAGTCCCATACTTAATTCACTATAGGTTCTGTCAACCCCACTTCCCCTCACTAACCCTTTGAGCTATAGACTCTGCTAAGATATCACTGTGCATATTCCCCCATTAGTAGAGCCTGCTGAGCATCCCTCATTTGACTAACTCCTTGCATTATACATTCTTCTGAACAGAACATACTTTGAGGTCATATGAATGCAATCAACACTCACCCCTCCACTGATTTACTGCATTATATATTCCTACGAGACTACCCCTGTTAATATACGTGGAGCCTCTTCTAAGCAGCAGGATAAAAGTTATACATATCCTACTTATACAGTCAATATTCCCGTATATCCCCAATAATGAGTTCCAATAGTTAAACTAAATAAACTGTAAGACCAATGCCCAAAACATCTGGCAGCCATTTAATCTCCTCCAGCTTAGAGTCTGTAAAAACAGCTGCCACCATTTTAATCAAATGGTGGGTCCAGCGACTGAGAATGCTGGAGTAGAGATGGACACACACATTTGTAATATATTTTAGGTAAAAACAGACAAACAGGAAAGTTATCCAACACAGACTAGCTAGGCTAGTTTGAACCCAAATTAGCGGTCCCACTGGCACTTTGGAAAGTCCCCAGAAAATATCTGCTATGAATAATGAGAGAATTGGTCAACCATGCTCAGCCAGATGACGATAAGGTTTTTTATACAACGGAATAACCTTACTGAAGTGCAATGGTCACTATTTCGTTTTACTAAACCTGATTAAAGGCTAATAAACTACATAAGGGGCAGATGTGCAGTGGGGGAAAGCACTCATCTCTACCGCAAAATCTTGTATTGATCATATAATGCCACACGACTGTATATGATCATGGGACTTCAGATATTTGCATCAAATACCATGCTGTGCCAGAACAGCCTTGCTTTTGAGAAATATGTACTTTTTTTTTTTTATATAAAAAGCATGAATGCTGCCTCACATTATCACCCAAGCTGTGTGAAATGCAGAATTCTCTGCTAGACATACGGTCACTGAAGGACATCCCATGTCATAGTAGGGTCTCTAATAAAAAGTCTAATCGTAACAGATAAAACTTCACACATTTTTACATACTAGATACAAAGAGGTGCAACATAAGGGGATGATTTTAATACTTTATTCTACATTCAGTTTCACATCATGTTACACATGGAAATATTGATAATATTCATGTGATCATGCTTTTTGTTTTAAATATGTTTATGTATAAGAAAATGTATTATGTCTACATTTATGTTTTGGCAGCAATGTATACTGCTTTGCTGGCCCATTGAATGACTTGGGAGGACAGACAGAGCTGTCAAACACTGAATTTTGTTGTTAATGCAATTCTTATACAGTGAATACACACAAACAGCCACACAAAGTATGATCATAGGAATGATGTGGAAGAAAGGGGAGTATATGTTACAGAGATTTGGTAGCTGCATTGTACGGAGCACTCTGTGGCTTTAGTAACTGCAAGATTTCACTTTCTGCTGTAATAAACTATATCCAAAACATTCACCCATCCCATCTCCTCAGTCTCATGTCACTTACTGATCATTCCCAAATATCCTCTACTTCAATACTGTTCCACAATCCAATCCTCTCATTGTCTCTCTCCTCTAGTGAAAAACTGCAGATAAAACCTTCATTTTCTCTCAATCTATCCCCCATGGCCTCTCTGGTGTCTGTTTCCCTCTGACAAAACAGACACTAAAACCTGACACTAATATTCCTGCTTTTTTTCCTGGTCAATACTCTGCTATGTCCCCATATCACTCGTCGCCCCATGAATCTCCCTCACCCCCTGGTACTCTCCGCGTGCATCTCCCTCACCCCCTGGTACTCTCCGCGTGCATCTCCCTCACCCCCTGGTACTCTCCGCATGCATCTTCCTCACCCCCTGGTACTCTCCGCGTGCATCTCCCTCACCCCCTGGAATCCCTCATGCATCTCCCTTACCCCCTGGTACCACGCCCCCCACCATGTATCTCCCTCACCTCCTGGTACCCCCTCATGTATCTTCCTAATCACCTGGTACCCCCTCACCTCCTGCCTCCTGGTACCCCCCCATCTATCTTCCTCACCTCCTGGTACCACCCCCCACCCCAATTATTTTCCTCACCTCCTAGTACCCCCCCTCCATGTATCTTCCTCATCTCCGGGTACTCCTCCCCATGTATCTTCCTCATCTCCGGGTACACCCCCCATGTCTCTTCCTCACCTTCTAATACCCCCCATGTAGCTCCCTCACCCTCTGGTACCCCCCATGCAGCTCCCTCACCCTCTGGTACCCCCCCATCAGCTCCACCACCCTCTGGTGCCCCCCATGCAGCTCACCCCTGGTGCACCCCCATACAGCTCCTCACCCCCCTGGTACCCCCATGCAGCTCCCTCACCCCCTGGTACCCCCCATGCATCTCCCTCACCCCCTGGAACCCCCCATGCATCTCCCTCACCCCCTGGAATCCCCCATGCATCTCCCTCAACCCCTGGAATCCCCCATGCATCTCCCTCAACCCCTGGAATCCCCCATGCATCTCCCTCAACCCCTGGAATCCCCCATGCATTTCCCTCACCTCTTGGTACCACCCTATGTATCTTCCTCACCTCCTGGTACCCCCCCACCCCATGCATCTTCCTCACCTCCTGCTACCACCCCCCCATACATCTTCCTCACCTCCTGCTACCACCCCCCCATACATCTTCCTCACCTCCTGCTACCACCCCCCCATACATCTTCCTCACCTCCTGCTACCACCCCCCCATACATCTTCTCCTCACCTCTGCTAACAATTTCCCCCACACACACACATCATCATCCTCACCTCCTATAAATTTCCCAAGAAGCACATCATCTCACCTCCTGCTACCACCCCACCCATATACATCTTCCTCACCCCTGGTACCCCTCCCACCCAATGTATCTCACTCACCCCCTGGAATCCCCCACACCCGGTATCGCCATCATATCTGGTATTCTTCCCATGTATCTCCATCACCACCTGTTTTCTCCCTGACTCCAGATACCCCCTATCCCACATTCCTGATATTCC